GTTGATCAGTTGACCGTACATTTCCATTAAATTTTGTAGTCTTGCTTCCCGAAAGATTTTTTCATCCAGACAGAAGTTGACTGTAGTCGGTACTTGAATTCCGGTAGTGTAGCGTAAAATCTAGACACGTTAACCGACGAGTTAGAATTCCGCTGGGGGGCTAATGAGACCAGTTCAGGCATGGTCGAAATTGCAGTTCACTCCTGACTGAATAAGAATACCTTTTTAAGAAAAGTAAGGTTATGTGAAACTCAATAAAAGCATGAGGTATATTCAATTGATTATGGGATATTTCAACTATCACCCCTGTCTCACCTTAAACAAAATAAAGTTTGACTTAAACTTCTCTACACTGCAGCTCTAATTGGCGAGTTCCACATGCCCGTAATTGTCATTCAGCTATGGACAAAATGGTGAGAGCTAGAGAGAGAGAAACATTATATTCCTACCATGCTACTCTCTCTCTCTCTCTCTTTCTCGCTCACATACATACACACCATATTAAGAGGCTTTATTTGCTTACTTTTGTTTTCAAGCCTTCTTACCGTAATACCCCTTGATTATCTCTCATTTTCGAGCAGCCTGGATTAGCCATCTGCTGTCAAATCGACAACTTTAATTATTAGTATCATTTTGGTAATTGCTTAAATAACCACGAATATTTTTGAGGAAAATCATTTTCTAAAGAGCACATGCTTTATGCTCTTAGATTTGACTGTTAGGGCTAAACTTTTAGAACCATATTAACTTGGCTGAGTAGATTAATTTTTTATGGCGAACTTTCTTAATGAATTTTTCGCTAAAATCTCGTCGCTACTCCCCATCTGACATCGGCTGCTTTCAAAAGCTTTAATAGGCTTTCTGTTTGTTCTCTACAAGAGAATCCTAAAGCAATGGCCCCTGACCCCAAAATTAATATTTTAAGGATCCTGGTAGTCATCTTGAAATGGACTTAGTCTTGGAGCCATAGTGTAATACACATTTCTCATTATCTTCATTTTATGTGAAGGTAAATTTTTAAGGAACTCCCACGATTTTATTGTCTCATGCCGTTGCAAAATCGTCCGTTGACCGCATTGGAAGTCGATTATCGTTGCCTATCAGAGTTTAGCAATCATTGCAAAATATTTTTCATCGACGAAGCCGAGACAGCTTTTAACTTTGTATGACAGTCATTTTCATAAAGGAGACACTATTTGAATTGAATCTAATATCAAGAAGTTAAAAAACAAGCTCCTTCTTGCATAGTGTTCATAAAATAGTGGAGGCCCACTAGGTCCCCTGGGGTTCAATCGTTTTTTATTATACTGTTTCTACCTATAAATCTTTGAACACGCCTGTGTGGATGTATGCAATCACAAATCCATCCATGCATACTTATACACACACACACACATGCATATATGTATATATACAGTCAGTAAGAACCACTTGGACTTAATCATAGTTCTGCGAAATATTAGTTTTCCTTGAGTCATTTATTAAACAACATATGAATGTCCTAAATTTAATAATTCCATTTATCCAATTTTAAAAGCCACTTTCCACTCCATAATTTTGCGTTGTGCAGAACAATTTGTATTTAATGCAAAATTTCCCATTTCGAATCAAGTTACTTGTTGCTCAGTGTTTTTCGCTTGAGTTTTGCGAGCACACAGGCATACAAAGTTTCTCTGAATCCAGAGAATAGGCAATTTGGAATTACCTGATTTTTTCATGGAGTCACTTAGTATTCTTAATACTGTCTCCATGCTAACAGGATAACAACTTTTATAAACCTTATTCAACCTTATTTTCCTTTGGCCATCAGGTTTTTTTATCAACAATCGTAATCCCTAAAAAACCTCACGTGACAATTATTCCGGGTTATAATATTTTATAACCTCTTTAGTTCCACATCCCAGCTTTTTTGTCTACTGTACACAGTTCTCTCTCATGTACTTCACAATGCCTGATTTAATTTCGTAAGTGTATCTTGAGCAAAAAAGCAGCGGTAGACCCGCATGCTTTGAGTTCCGGTACATAGACCTTTCAAGCTTAGTATTTTACTTTATCTCTAGCGGTGAAATGATTCATATTTTATTGCTGTATGATGAGCACACGATAATCATCTTCATCCCTTATGTGGCATAGATACTCACCAAAGGCTCCTTCTACCATAACTAGGCATACGGCGACATATTCATTCACACAAAGGGCGAATAGCATCGTTGTTAACACCACTTCACTAAGTAGGCATTCATTCAGTCTTGCTTTGCGGTTATTTTGACAGCTTTCGACTCGCATTCACAAGCCTTGCCTCTCTTCATCGAAGCCATAATGAAATTAATTGGTCTCATTGTGGATCTGTTGCTTCACGCGCCGCATTCTGCTTATACATTCGTTCAGTCTGTCCATTTTTATTTGTTTTTTTTTCATACCGCATGATGTTTTTCTAGAAAATGCCAGAGTCCAGCTTAGAATAGCTCTAAGATTTT